AGCGCTAATATATAATATAGATTTATAAGCATTTAGTGCAGACCATATTTAATATTTATTTGAATATTTCCTAATGATACACTTCACATAAGCTTAGGGTGCAAGCGCCAGGTGTTAGATTATACAGTGGAAATATACATATATATATATATATATATATATATATATATATATATATATATATATATATATATATATATATATATATATGTATATATATATATATATATATGTGCAATAACTTTCATGTGCATTGGCAACTTTATAATTTACTTATTGTTCCCTATATTACTCTATATGCAGCAAGGTGTTTTTCTATTGCTAATGAGGTATTTTAAGTCCCTAATTTTTACTAATGGAAGGCAGCAACCAAAGGAACTGCAGCTATTAACACGTGCTAGAAATAGGAGCTATATAGGAACAGAAGCTAGGAACTGAAGCTAGGAACTCGAGCTAGGAACAGGAGCTGGATGCAGGATGTAGGTACAGAAGCTAGGAACAGACTAGAGCAAGGAAGTACAGCTTGGAACAGGAGCTAGGAATAGGGGCTAGGAACTAGATCTAGGGATAAGAGCTAGGAACAGGAACTAGGAACCCAGGCAAGCAACAGGAGCTGGGAACTAGAACTTAGAAATAGAGATAGGATCCACAGCTGGGAGAAGAGCTAGGAACTACAGCTAGGCAAAGGAGTTTGGTACTAGAATAAGGAAGAGGAGTAAGGAACTAGAACTAGGAACAGCAGCTAGGAACTAGAGCTAAGAATAGAAGCTAGGAACTAGAGCTAGGAACCAGTGCTAGGAGCTATAATTTGCAGTATTTGAATTGAAGCAGTGTGGGTCAGAAACATGAACCAACGGTGCAAAAAGAAAAAGCCTAAAATCAAATGTGAAAAAGTACAAAAAACATTGCATACCAAGTTGATTCAAACAAGAATGATGGTGTTCACTGAATAAAAGCTAAATCTGCAGAAACCTTTAGATTGACAGAACATTTTCTTCATTAAGTAATATGTATGATATTATACATTGTTCAGAATTAAAGTTAAATACCAAAAGCTGCAGCAGATGATGAACAACAATGTTTATATCTGCTAAACGTACCTGGTCTTATCCAGCTCAAAAGGATAAGTAAACACTATCAACACCAATGCTTGGAGTACCTTGTGTTATTGTTGGGAGCTGGAGAAGTACCACCTTCCTCCAGCAGAGTCCGCCGTGGATCCTCCTGAGCTGAGCCTCCTGCACAGCTGCAGCCCATTCCATCATCAGAGGATTCACAGTACTTAAGCTGTCTTCAGACCTTGCCTCAACGCTGCAGTGTTGATCCAGTTGGTTAGCACCTAAGCCTAGTATCTCTGAGAACCTTTGTTGACTTTTGAATCCAGACTGGATTCTAACTTCTGTCTCTGTCTTCCAGGAAACCAGTTTTTCTCCTGTGAAGCTCAGGAAGAGCTTAACCTGCCGAGCCTGCCCTCTGAGCCAAACCTGAAGTCTCTCTGAACTTCCATGCAGCTCTGGACCAAGAGCTGGAATCTCAAAGTCAAGGTCTGCTCACTCTTAAGAAGTAAGACGCTGAAGCAGCTCACAGACTCTGCTGAACAAACCATCTCCGGACCCAACAGTTTCCCTCTCAAGGCTTTAACCAAGAACCCTCAAGGTACAAATCTGAAACTGTCAAGAATCAAACTCCTATGCGCAACGCTAACTGAACTGTCACTCACGCAGACTCCGGTGAACCAGTTTCCCAGGCCTGAACCAGAACCAGTCATTCTCTCTGTGCTTGTGACAATAAACCCTGTTAAACCTTTTACTCCAGTTTCCGTCTCAGTGGTGTTCTGCATTATTGGGTCACACCAGTGAACCTATCATGACAGTTATTTGATGAAGACAAAATAGTTTTATTTGGTTTATTTTTGTCTTTTTATAGTACATGACTTAACTCATTTAAAGACTTTTAAGAACCAATCTGAAGCTTCCAACAATTATTAGATGATTAAATTAAAGACAGACAAAAAAGATGTTTCCAAATCTTAGGATATCAGGTGTTTTTAGTCTCATGGGTTAAGGCAGTGGTTCTCAAACTTTTTCTGTGATTCCCCACTTTGGACAAGGGGGAATTTTCAAGCCCCGCCTGTCCCCATTGCCCCAACACAATGCTAATGAAATATGAAACAATCTTAAAATGTTCCAATTTTATTGAAGTAACAAGTAGTATCTAAATACAAACTATCTACATCAAATAACAGCAAGCTCAAAAATAAAGAAAATAAAAACAAAAATAAAGAAAATAAAAATGCAGCTCAAAGATAGAGAAAATTAAAGTGCAACTCTGCAATCTGTTAATAAAAGAAAAGAAGTGAAATCCATCTGGCAAGACAGGTCTATTTATCCCTGCATTAGTGGCTGCAATGAGCCTGTTTTGCATTGCACAGTTTATCAAAACGGGGTTGCAGGCTTGATACTGCCACTCTCAAGTCATGCTTTGTTTTCAGTGAAGCAACAGCTGAAAAGCCCATCTCACAGAGATATGATGTGGCAAAGGGAAGAAGAATGCACACAGCCCTCTGCCCGATGAGTGGATACTCCCTCTCCACTCCAAACCAGAATTGACTAAATAAATTCAGTTATTTATGATCAACCTGCACCGTCAATCCCGGCGCATGTGCGCTTTATTTGCAGTCTGGACGCTGAGGGTAAACATGCTGTGACTCTAACTGCAGCGCTGAGAGGGACTCCTGCGATAGCGGGGGAGAACGGGGTTGGGATTGGATAGGCGCCCCACAGCAGCACCTGCCGCTGGAGGACAAGAAAAGGAACGATACGTGCCTTCACGTAAGAGCCTCCAAAAGTCGCTAGATTTGTCGCTAGTCGTTTTTTTGAAAAAGAGTCGCTGAAGGGGTCTGAAATATAGCGACAAAGTCGCTGAGTTGGCAACACCGGGGCGCGAAAGTTTATTCCGTTACAAATAATATGCCGACGTCACGTCAATCATTATTTTGGCACTTCAGTTCCAGGTGAAATTTTTCTCATATCTAATGTTCTTTTAATTAGACTGCATGTAGGCTATTAATGATTACTTTGTGGGTTTGATAGGTCTAAACAGCGGCAACATACAGCTATAAGGACAGTTTGCTCTCACATGTTCTACATTTATAGTCACACAAAACACACACCGGAACTTGGCGCGCCCCACCTGTCACGTCTCAATTCCCCACCAGTGGGTCGCGCCACACACTTTGAGAACCGCGGGGTTAAGGAGTGAAATATCATTAGTGGAATAAAAAGCAACCATTGTAAGAAAAAACCTTACCCACTATTTTTATTCCCCTAAGGAACCATTTACTGCTTCAAAGCACAAGACCAGACTTGACCAGACTGGTGATAGTGTGGTGAAACTTTTGGGGAAAAAAGAGCTGAGCTGAGCCCCCTCTTCTCAAGTGTGAGCTTATCATCAGCTGTTAGGAGAAGTGTGAATTCCTTCGCCCTGGGCCGCTGCCCCCACCCCCAAGTGTTTATGAGCACAGGGAGAAAAGACACAGGTGCAGGTGTGGACCTTACATCCTGGAGCACTTGGTGATTAGACTGAGAAGGACCGAGTTACTACTCAAGCTTCAGGAATCTCATCCATCTGTGGGAAGCAGCAGTTAGAGGAATGAAAGGCTGAAACTGAGCAGAGTTTACAGTGTTGAACAACAGCTCCAGTATGAGCTCGTTCTCACTTGTAATTTTATTTTGGCCTTTTAGACAGCATAGAGAAAGGGTTACAGGGAGAAACTATGTAAACTAAAGCAAAAGAGGCAACAAAATAGCCCCAGCAGAGACATATATAGAGGTAAACTCTAAACTCAGCAATATTTACCAATGAATAATCCAGCTTGAACTACTGACAGAAACACTAAATTTTAACCAGCATTTGTTCCTTCTGTTTTATTCCTAGATCTTCACTCTGTGGAGTAAAATTCAGTGTTAAAATCTACACTAGAACAAAGCAACTATTCTTGCTGGTACTTACATGAATGGATGCAAAATTAAAGATGATGTTCCTCCACATGCTTTGAATATTTAAAGACAAAAGTCGTTTTTTTCCCCTCTTAACCAAATGTATGCTTTTTATGTTCCAGTAAATCTCAATCCAGATGATAATTGGATCACGTTAAGCAACACTGTAAATAAACTCACCTAACATTTGCTGGTTAAACTGTCCCTTTGCACAACAGCCTAATAAGGGAAAACCTGTTTTACCCACGTTTGGATTGGTTTTGGCTGAGAAGCAATTCGTAGTTTAGCTGTCCTCTGTCCAGTGCTCAAAGTTCCAGCAGCAGTAAATGCACCACAAGGGAAACAAACACAATGCTTCGATTTGCTTGCAGAGTATAACAAGCAAATATCAAGCAAGGAGGAGCACATAGAGGAAATGCCTTTTGCTATTTTATGGATGACAATGACAGACAGATAAGATAAGTTTATTTTGAGGAAGAATCTGAAGGCCTTCATATAATATTTCCCTGGAACTGAACTAAAAGGAAAACCCTAGGCTGGGCTGGGAAACCCAAAATTTCTATAGCATTGCTTTCTCATATCTCCTAAACAAATCCCATATAGACATTATTTTTCACCTCACTTCACTTTGTTTCATCTTGTTCATAACAAACCTAAAGGCTTAAAAAAACATTTAAAGTAGAAGCAACCAATAATAAAATAAAAGGCTTGCAGTTTTATGTTGCTTTATTTTTTTTCTGGAGTCAGTTTTACTCTGTCTATTTTAAAAGAATGGCTGTCAGTTTGATGCACAGTTTAGGGAAAAGCGCAGGGTCTAATTATGGCGTTAATGGTTATGAGTTTTCTATTTATAACAGATCAATTCAGGACAGGAAGCTGTAACTCCAGCTGCCTGAATGCAGTCTGTTGACTTGTAGCCTCGGCTGGGTTGGGGTTGCCTTTTTATGAGCGCTTTAACTGCCTGAACAGCTGAAGCTCTACATCCATGAGCTGCTGTCCTACCTTGTCTCCAGGGGACAGCAGGACTAAATGCCGGCCGCCGTCTCTCACACAGGGCAGTCGACTTGGTTCTCCCACGGTATGCAGCTCCCCTGCCCATCTGTGAACAAACGGCATAGATCTGCTTAGTGATTCTTATGTTCTTTGAAGCAACCTAACAGCCTGAAGAAGTGCTGAGCATTCGTAAAAGGTCTTGTGAGCAAAATCAGACAAATGCCTGGCAAAGAGGGTGTTATTACAACATGTTCAGCCCTGCTGTCAACAGTCCCATCCTCCTCTGCAGCACTGGATATGCTGTTCCAGCTCATTCCCTGACTGAGGAACCATGGAGGATCCTGACTGGACTCCTAACATGAGGCAAGCAGCTCAGACACCAGTTTACAGACTGGACCATATCTTGATGAAAGAGTTAACCAGGTGCCTGTCTTTGGAGGCTGAAATATTTAAACCTTGATGTGACTATTAATGGGCTAAGTCTTCAACTATTTACCAGAAAGAACAGGTTCTATGAAACTGGTACTGCCATGCAAACACAGCGCTCATTCATGGTGGGGTTGTCACCATACTAAACTTTTCAACTCTGTACCGATACGAAGGAAAATATTCGATACTCGATACCATTTACGATACCACAAGGATAAAAACAAAGACTCCAAAATTCTACAGAAATTTTCTTTAGTAATAAAATTACAATAAACAATAAGAAGAATATTTTGAGCTTGTTTGCTCTGCACATATTAAGCAAGCTTGGTAAAAAAAATTAAATTAAGTGTTCCTTCCTTAGCTATGCTTTGCACAGATAACAATGACACGAGCCAAACCGGTTAAGAAACAAAAATAATTCTCAGCAGCTGCACCTGTTACAAAAAAAAGTCTGAAACTGAAAAGTGCGTAGAATTATTCAATCACACAGTGTTCTGAAAGTGCATTTTCCTCTATTCTGCACTTTAGATGAACGACTGTTTAGGTGCCACTGTTGGTAGCACTGTATCGATACTTTTGAAAATGAGTATTGTATCCGGATACAACGTTTCAGTATCGATACTTTTTTGAGTATCGATACTTTTGACAACCCTAATTCATGGTAATCCGGAACCATCGCCCTACCTGCCTCTCACTCTGCCTTATTAAGTATGAAACCAATTAAGAATCAGTGCAAGGCCCTCCACAGTGAGCGAGGATCTGTTTCCTGCTAGAGCAGCATGTGCAGCACCAAATTGTGGTCAGCATGGAGGACGGAACGTAACTTCCGCATGCTTTGGACACATTCACTGAGTAAAGAAGCAACTTATTAACAAATATTTCACATAGGCTTTATAAATCATTTTGTTAAAAGTTCAGTTGTTTTGACATGTTATCGCACTATTACAGATAAAATCATAGACAAAAAAAAATGCAAAGGCTAAACTCAACAGCACACATTGAGTCCTCTGTTTATGCAGCAGTATTAAGGCTCATAGGTAGCGTGCAGGACTGTAGCAACACTTTAAAAACTACTTAGAACCACTGAAATATTTTTGTAAAAGAATCCAAATATAAAGAAGGGTGCTTTATTAAATAATGCACATATTATATAGTAAAAAAAGGGCTGAATTAATGTAATGGATAGAAACATTAGCTCTAGTAAAAAACAAAGATGCTGCATATTACCATATTTTTACATCTGTTCCGTTTCAATTAGTCCACATATAATGTGTTAAGCAGTTGTTTTTTTTATCTTTAATACATAAAAGACTCCTAGATGACAGGAGAGACACATAACTCTCCCCTGTTGTCCATAGTGTACAAAAACTGGTTCCTAAAAGTCATTCCTTCTTCATTTGTTATCTTTAATGGTTTTATATTGATGTAAATAATTGATTGATTACTGTATTCTTTTCAGTTTGTTTTTAATATATTAACACGTAAATTGTGAAATTAGCTGGAATATGCAGTTAAGAAAATCCCAGCTAGTACTCTGTTTGAGAGGAGAACTGCTTGTCCAGGAGGTCATGAACAATCTCCACATAATGAAAACAAACATCTTGGAAGACCAAGACCAAAGATTGGCTAGATGTGAATGATTGGGCCCTTATGTCCTCATTTGTCCATTTTAAGTGGGCCTGTTTTTCAGTGTAGTCCTGTTTCTCTGACTGTGACTAAGTGGATGTGCTCTCTTTCATCCTCTGACATGGGAAGTGGCTCTGAGCTCATCTGCCTGGCTGTGTGTTTCCTGGATGGGGCCGCCTCTGGTTGGTAATTGCCTTTTGTTTCTAGGATTCTGTCTGTATGCCTGCTCCTGTCTCCTTGAACCCCAGTCGGCCTCGGTAGATGGCCGCTCACACTAAACCTTTTCTTAGACAGAAAATCTGAACCAACCTGAATATACGATGTAGTCTAATTGTCTCTGTAAAGTGTCTTGTGAAATATCTCTATATAAATAAACTGAATTGAATTTAGCTACAATAGGTGACCTTTAACTTCCACGTTTAAGTGGCTATATAAACCAGTCTCCCTCTGTGATCTAAAGGTTTTGTAAAGTCATATATGTGTGTAGGTCAAAGAAAAAGAAAATTTCCAAATAAAGACTCAGATTTTTTTAACATCAACTATAAATACCTCTTCTCTGACTAAAGCTGAAGTTGCGGCTGTTGCTGTTGTTCTCGTTCGTCTCCTTCAGTGACTCCACAGAAGTCTTGTTGGAGGCTACACCTTCATCATCAGTTTTCTCATCTGCAGAGGGGTCCACAGGAGCAGGGGGGCTTTGCTTTGCATCATCCACCTTCGGTTTTTCTTCTGAGCTGTCCGGAGGCGGAGCTTCAGGAGTATTGTCTGGAACAGCTGCAGCTGGAGCTTCAGGTGGAGCCGCAGGCTCAGAGCTGGGTGCAGCAGCAGATAGGGCAGCCTCTTCTGAACACAATCAAACATTGATTCAAGATGTTAGTAAAAAGGTATTTCCCTATTATTTTGGTAACTGTAAGAATAAAAATATGGTGTAAGCTACTGCAAAGAGCGTACTGTTGATTTACTCAATAATTATCCATGATTTAAACTTCACAATGTTGTAGGTTTGATGGTGTCATTCACCAAATCATGACGACCTTTTGACCCAAAGAGCCTGGGGTATTTCTGAGCCCAGGCAGTAATTCTCTTATGCGTCTGCATTCTTAGGGAGCCATCAGGTTTATAATGAGGCCCTTGATTACTGGGTGACTCCTAACAAGCCAAAGCTATGCAGCTGTTTGGGGTACGTGGGAAAGTGGGGCAGCGCTGTCAGTTTCTTACCCAGTTCTCAAAGCAGGGAAGGCTGAGGTTAGGGGATGTTTGCTGATCAGGACATAAATCTGTCACTCCATAAAGTAATGAATTTCCCTGCTTGTATTAACTTGGGCCCTTAGTTTAGTACTCTGCTGCTGGGGTAGAATTTTCTTTAGGTGATAACCAAAGGAGAACTGCTCATGATCTCTGAAAGCCAACTGTTTCCATGCTTTTTTTCAATTTAGGAAAGTTATAATGGATCTGCCCTGGATGTTTCATCATGGAACCAGATTTGCGTTTGACTTCAAAACAGAGGTTCGTTTTGCGAATTTGAATCAAATCCCTCATCTGTACCTTCACAGGCTGCATTAGGCCATTGTGCTCTTCTAACAATGACTGGACTTGCCTTTTTATTAGGCACACTACTTCCATTTCTTTTCAGCAATGCCTGTAAACTCTTTCAGAGGACACTTAAAAGGTGCCTTTTTAACCATCCCATGCTTTTTGTGAAAGAGATCAATATGTCCTCCTCTGACTTGCAAAACATGGGTAGTCACAGGAACAAATCTCTGTATCTCTGTTGGTCGAGGGAGCAATGTTAGGAGGATGATTTGTAGGACCAGCTAGTGGCAACATTTACATTTAAGGAGAAACAAAAATCAGAAATCTATCTGGCTAGAGAGTAGGGTATGACATTTGGTTCAAATCTTAAGCATATAGTGGTTTGCCTTCCTGCAAACTGGACCTTTTCGGACCGGCCTCTCCCAAGGGGGATCAACTGAGCCTTACACTGAGCAACAGATTCCAAACAGGAGGTTTGGATCCAGCCACCTTTGAGCGCGCTAAGATCACTCTCTGAATAAGAGAATCATCTTCACCACGACCCGTTCGAGTACCACAGGAAAACTGTATCTGGCTGTATCTTTCCACTCCGTCCGAGTTCTGGGTAAACCCTGTTCCGCCCTCCACCGAACCAAACAAACTCTGGAAGACCAACACACAGACTGGAGTCTAAGTGTCTCTTGTTCTTTGGAAACGTGAGTGGCAACAAATTCTCTCCTTCAAGATAAACAACTCCAATTTCCACTGAGCCTAAATCTTACAGTCTGTCTACCCTCGTCTTCCAGTTTCTGGCTAAGCAGAGTTCGGAGGAACATAAACATTACTATGAATTATTGTCTGTGAACCTGACACTTCAACATCAATGTTATGCTTTCCAGAGGAGGGAAGAAAGAAAATGTTTGTTTTCTTTTCAATATTTGTTAACACTTAAAACAACACTATGTATTTCTTCAGCTAGGTTCAGTAATAGCTGAATTGGAGATATCACTTATTTTTTCAGGTCAACATTTATCACTGCGTTGATGCTCCATGTGGGCTGCTCATATTTAACCTCAGAGGGTCAATCCTTCATTAAATGGGCCATGTGACACAGAGTGCCGCCATAAGTATGAGCTCCCGTTAAACAGTAGAACAGTTGTTGTTTTTTCTGACCATTAGCTGACCAGACAAAATTCTGGTTCCATGATAGATGATTTAATCGGAGGCCTGCCCACAGTTGGCCCTTGAGGGCCTCTTTCCTGCATGTTTTAGTGGTTTCCCTGTTTCAGCTCAGCTGATTTCTATTGATAGCTGATTAAAAGGCTTTTACAGAATCAGCTGTGTTGAAGCAGGAAAATCTCTAAAACCTATGAAAAAGTGGCCCTTAAGGGCCGACTTTGGGCAGCCCCGATCTAGAGTGGTGAATGTTTCCTCGTCTTTGCCAGGAACACCAGGACTTCTAGATCTAAGGGTCCAAAGTGCTCTGCTATCAGAACTAGAATATGGAGGGAGACTGGTTCATTTAGAGAGTGTGCAGTGCTACCTGTGGCCTGCAGGGGGACTTTTAGCCCCCTAGTGGCTAAAAGTCATACAGTTCTGCTTTAAGTGTGGTGATGACACAAATTCGCTTCCGTTCCAAATAAGACAGACTTGTTCTGTGTGCTCCCATTCTCCCCGAGTCCATACTTCCTGTGTTCTTGTCAGGAACGGACTTGGTGAGAATAGAAGTCTGTATCCGTGTTTTTGTGAAATGAAAATTGGCCAATGTCTCTGAGCATCCTGCTCATGTCCTTATCAAAAGTCTGGTCCCATGTGAGTGGGTGGCTGTTTCCCCCCATAGCATTACTGCTATACAAAGCTTATTTTTAGCTTTTTTAAAAGCCTTTTAAGTGTTTTTTGTTTTGCCACTTGCAACATTTTGCTGTTTGCTGTACTTTTTTTTGGTTTGGTGGACATTTCTACATTTATTACATCACTTCCTGCATTCAGGCCTCTAGAGAAGACTTGCTCAGGCCCAAACTGATAAATTAGGAGGGTAAAGAAAGCTGATTTAAGAGGCAGAAACATGGCAAAGCCGTTGGTGTTGGATGGGCAGTATTTCAGACAAGGATCTCCTAACAAAATACAAGAAACACATTACTTCTGATTGCTACCTGCATCTCTATTCAGCATCTTAATGCTACCATAGTGCAGTTCCTTGTTGAGGTGGACATGATAAACTAAATATTCCATGACTACTTTACGTCATTATCTGGTAAGGCCACGTAAATGTTTCCTATCAGTGTTTATTCTATCTCAAAAAGTTTCAACTCTTAAATTTCCATAGTAATTCATAAAGGCAAAAAAATTATTGCTTTATTTATTTTTCTGCCCGCAGTTGCCACAATGATGTCCTCTCATGCAAATGTTGTGGGTTACATTTTTTTGTGGAAGGAAAATCGTCACAAGCAGTGAAGTAATTGTTTTGAGGAAGAAACACTTCTTGTGATGACAAGAAAATGCATGCCTCGTGTTACTGCAGCTTTTCTACATGCTGGTGATGATTTTCAGTCATCCAGGTCATAGTCGTTCCAAAAAAGTAAAAAAAAAACAATCCACTGGGCGTGGTTTCCAAGTTTGAAGACGTTTCGCTTCCCATTCTGGAAGCTTTTTCAATTCAAAATATGGCTTTTCTACATCTAGGTTTGTTTAACCGCGACCATAAATAACCACCAATGTTGGTCTTAATTACAGTACACTGGTTTAAAAGGAAAAACAAAACAAAGAAGAGCGAACAAGATATTGTCTGCGTGCGGTTCACACCGTTCACTGGTGTAAAATGAGGCTTAATGCAGGGTGACATCTCCAGACACTACTTACTGCAATAATCTAACACACAGACACATCAAAGCAAAAGATCCAGCCTTTGCTTATTTAGAAGCAAATGCAACTTCGACAATAACAGTTATAGGCCAAAATTCTGCATAATCAGAAAAACATACCAAGTTGCAAAAAGTTTTATCTTTGCCACTTTGCTCTCTCTGCTTTTTCTCATGGTAGCTTTACCTCATCTGTTCCTGTTTGGCTGTTACATCCGCCTGGAGAGAAATATCAGCTGTGCTGCTGCCATCAACACCTTTGTTTATAGATACTGGAGAATGGCCCGTTTTCCAGTGTAGTCCTGTTTCTCTGACCGTGACTGGCTGGATGTGCTCTCTTCATCCTCTGACATGAGATCCGGCTCGGAGCTCGTCTGCCTGGCTGTGTGTTTCCTGGACGGGGCCGCCTTTTACAGCTGCTTTTTGTGTCTCTGCTTCTGTCTCCTTGAACCCCAGTCGGCCTCTGCAGATGGTCGCTCACACTGAGCCTTGTTCTGCTGGAGGTTTCTTCCTGTTAAAAGGGAGTTTTTCCTCTCCACTGTTGCTAAAAGCATGTTTAGTGTGAGGGATTGAAAGAAAACTTAGAATCAATTCGACTGTATGATCTGGTTGAACTGTAAAGTGCCTTGAGATGACTTGTGTTGTAAATTGGCGCTATATAAATAAAATGAATTAAATTGAATTTACAGATTTACAAAATAACACTTAGAAAGTTACAAAGACCTCACACACAGATGTACAGCTTTTAACAGAACCAAAGCCATGCTGTCTGCATGATGAAGCATCAGCAATAGCTTCACTGAGCCTCTGTTTCCATCATGTGGTCAGCAAGAGTACTGCCGGGCAGTTCTCCCCTTCCACGTCTTACAAGTCACACCCATTCATTTTATGGAGGGAAACAGAAATGATGATGATGATGATGATGATGATGATGATGATGATGATGATGATGATGATACATTTGTTCTTCAAAGAACCATCTCTAACTCAGACCAAAGTCTTTAACATCAGTCACAAAACTTCTGCATTGTGTGGTTTCATTTTTTTTTATTCTTTTTTCCTTTATTTCCACTATGCCTTCCTTTTACTTATAACTCTAACCTTATAAAGAATCTGAAAATATTTCTGTACTTTTGATAGTTTTTCATTGCATGCTTAAACTTCACATTGTTTATTCCTAAACTCTAGATGCTTTGGACTGCAGTCCGCAAACCTTAAAGGTATAATGGAGGATTTTCTTTTTCTGGGTGGATCATCAAAATAAGTGGTCCTCCTTAGTGTCATTCAGTCAGTCAATCATATGTTTACGTAAGGCCGTCCTACGTGTTTGTTCTGTTAGCTATCTTTATGTGCGCATGCACACTTTCAGGCGTATATCTGTGGTGAGCTATGGTTTCAGACAGTCATTCAAACTCACCTTTCTCACCACGGTTCTTTGAAAATGGGTTGAGGGTCATAAGAGAATAAGTGTCTGAGAGAAGAAGTGTATGAGAAAAAAGGAAAGCCTCAGAAGAGTCAGATATACCACGGAATGCTTTGCGCAGAGAGCTCTCCTTGCAAAGCATTATGGGATTTGCTGTCACAGCAGCCCGCTCTCGCCATAGGCTGTCGCTACCTGACAGCGCAGGCACCGCGTGGTGGAGGAGGAGTTACGTGACCATCGGGGAGCAGAATCAGTGATCATCCGTCTAAACGGTAAGTTAACTGAGTTCACTAAGTCCACTATATGGTGATTGAGGGTTTTAGGGGTTAGGGCGGACGTTTGGACACTACACCTTTAGGACCTTCCCTTATTCTCTGGTTGCATCTGCAGTCCTCTAGGGTGTAGTTTGCATCACTGTTGGACAAGGTCTCCCACTCCATGCATGAAGCAGTTGAAGAAGTGGCAGACTGCTCTACCCCAGGTGTACAAAGTATAGTTATCAAGGATTCTTCCTCTCAGCAGTTATTACACTTCATTACCTCATGGTTCTCAACAACCATGGATATGTTCTTTACGCCTCTGCTGTTAGTTTTTGCAGTTTTTCTTGTCAATATTTTTTTCCTTTTGCAGTTCTCTTCTATTGCAAATGTATCATTACCTGCTTTGGAAACTCCTGAAGTTCCCCACTGTGGAACTGTAAATGGTTCTGCTTTTTATCTTTTTCATCTTCTTTTTGGAAACAGACCACATCTTCCTCATCGCATGTTAAAGACCTGTAGAGTTGCCTGACTGCAAGCTGTTTGAAAAGGTTACTTGTGGGGGACAAGTCAACTGCTTCCCCTTTATAGAATTATTACTTGACATTTGTGAGGACTCCTGGTCCTGACAAGGAGAAGCAATTGGATGAGGACTTGTTGGAGTGCTCCCATTGTCTTTTCCAGGCAAATGATTGTCTTGATTTCTTCTCAGAAGAGAAGAAGAGGGCTCATTAGATGAAATGACTTTGTATCAGTCCTTAGTTTCATCCTTGATCTTCTTGAATAACTTGAATAACTAACTCTCTCTCCTTTATTGTGCATCTTAAAATGAAGAGGAGTCCTGGTCCCGATGTTGTTGCTGCTAATATTATTTTGGTCTCAGCTTTTAAGCAGATGCATTTATCCCAGCCTTCCCTTGATGAGCAAAACTTTGACTCTGGAGCAGACGCTTTTAACTTGTTGTTTTTTTTCTTTTTAACCGCAGCCTCTCATTCAAGATGCTTCTTCAGTTCTAACTAGCGGTGGGGAGCACTGAGATTAATATACTGTAGGTGTAAAAATAATTAGGGGGAACACTTTCATGAGGCAGTGTGACCGAAACCATTCTTAACGAGCGAGTTAACGACCCATCAGAACCCCCTGACGTCCATTAACCCCTCAGGTGACCTCCTTGGCCAATCCAGTAGGAGGAATCAGTGCCATCCTTTGTTCCCATTTTGTTACACCTACAGTATATTAATCTCAGTGCTCCCTGCCACTAGTTAGAACTCAACAAGCCTCGTAGATTGGAGGCGAAACGTCCTCTAGAAAACTTCACATGAAGTTGCCTAAACTGAACCTTTTAACCTTGACCATGACCTGGATGACTGGGAATCTTCACAGCATTTAAACAGCACACAAACTGCAGCTTAACTCCTTACCTTGAAGTTTTATCTTTTAGCTGCCATCTTGCTAGCAACGGTTTCCCTCAAGTCTGTGTCAGATCATTTTGAAGCAAATGATAATGGATGGTTGCTATTTCATAATCATTTTAAGTACATTTGTTAATATTTCATTGCAGGCCACTGATTAGATTAAAAGTGTGATTTCTGCTTGGCTCCTATATATATAATCCAGTCAGAAAATAAATGTTTCGTCCTAAACTGCAACTGCATTAAAATATGTTTTTTAAGGTACTGTGTAATTTTTGTAAGCTATCTTTGTCATTTTGCTTAATGGTTTATACATTGCAACACTCTGTAACAGTTTTTAATGCATTATCACACTTACGTTATGCAGCTAAGATGGTTAACAGATAGGTAGCTGAGCAATCTGAACTACACTTCCTCTTCCACTGAGCTGTCATACTAATTAGAAAGAGGAAGGAAAATGGTAGAGTTAACTTGTAACTCATACCCACAGGAGTTTCTGTTTTTGAAACACTCTTTCCTGTTTCTCGCAGAATTTGAAAAAATACAATTACAAACACACCTTTCTTCTCTGCATGTGTTTCAGTTGCAACTTCTGGTTCTTGTGGCTCCTTTGCAGCCTGTGTTTCTGTGCTTTCAAAGGTTTTGAGACCTGAAAAGTTTAAAAGAAATGTGTTATTTTTTATAAATTAAGATCATAATTCTGGCAGATCTTAATGTTTCCTATGAGATTATATTTCTTTAGAATTGCTGCAGTGACCGTTTTGGGGCGCAGCCTCAACAATAAGTTCAGGCTCTACGGTGCTGAGAGGGATGTTTTCATCAGGTTGGGGGGGAACATTCATTGAGTAGACCTGTAAAAGAGAGCAGTTAGAGAGTGTAGTTATGGTTAGTTAGTTAGTCACGGTCTTGAACCTTAATCTGAAAAATTTCGTCATCTTTAGCCACAGCAAAGTTAGCTCTTCAAAATACAACCACCATAGTTTGATGCTGAATTAAAAGCCTCTTCCTCTTACCCTTCCTCTTCTCCGTGCCACGAAACAAGCAAATGCAACTCCCAGGAGTAGAATCAGGATTATGACCAGAAGGATGATGCCTGAAGATGAAACATTTAGTTTAAAGAAAGGAAAATGGTTCATGTTCCATAATCCCACTGTTTCCATCACACTGTATCATCTGTGATGGGTCTGACAGAGAATTTAATAATCGAATTTTACAGTGTTGCAGGGGATAAAATTAGCTGGAGGCTGGTGGGAAGTTAAACAGGCTTGAAAGATGGACATTGGCTGAACATGCTGGTGACCATCAAAGGCAGTCCAGATGATGACCAGAAACAGAAACTGGTTTGAACCCAGTGAGCGAGTGGAATGGACCAGTAAGAAAAAAACAACAACCAGCCAGCCACAGAACACAACAGCTAAAGGCAGGCTGCATGAAAACCATTCCCTTAAACAGGTCTCTGAGGTAGCTCAGATCTATTGATGTTTGTTGGGCTGTTGTAGCTCCTCAACATTGTGTGAGAGTTGGAAACAGAGTTGACTAGCAGACTTGGGTAGTGGTTCCCCCGTAATAAGAAGGGGGGCGGAGGATAAGCTCAATTTTTCAGGGAATCACACCTATGCCATGGTGCAGGAGATGAGCCAACCCTCAGCTGCAGAGCAGCAGTGTGGTTTTGGTCTTGGCCCTGAAACAGTGGACCAGCTCTACCGTCTCTGCAGGGTTCTCCAGTGTTCATGGGAGTTTGCCCAACCAGATCATGTTAATTGTGTACCTGGAGAAGGCACCATGTCCCCCATGAGCCTCTCTCCCACTAAAAATAGTGGGTTAACGTGTTTTAAACATCGGCCAACCCGCTAACAATCAGGCTTTGGCTCCATTCTGATTGGCAAAAAATACTGGGTCTCAACCCTATTGGCAAGCTGCTCGGCCTCTCTCCCCCCACCATTACATGTACAAAATAATTAGGGGAAACACTTCAATGGGACCGAAACTACTCTGACAAGCGGGTTTATTGACCCATCAGAACCCCCTAACTACAATTTACCCCTCAGGTGACCTCCATGGGAATACAGTAGGAGGGATCAGAGCCACCATTTGTTCCCCTTAATTCTTTGTTAAACCTAAAGTTAGCGTTGATGATGTCACCAGTGTGACAGAAATAAGGAAAGTAAACAATGGAGAGCAACATGTAAGGAAGCCAGAGCATAGTCAGCGGGCTTTATTGTTTCGCCCTTAATCTGTCCGATTCCCTCTCACCACAGCTGCTCCATGTTTATCGAATGTAAACAGAGTTGTTTCGGCTTGTTAGATCAGACGTGACTGCGCTGAATGCTATCACGTTAATTAGCAAGTAAACCCGGCTCTGGAGCTTGGTCTACATTGCCAGTAATCGGACCTGTTCCAGGTTCATGTTGGACTCTGGCAGGAGTGCCCTCTGTCACTGTCTCTGGGACCAGGGGATTTTATCCCTGCTTTTTACTCAGGTGACATGATTCTGCCTTTTCCCTCCTGCCAAGACCTACAGCAGGCACTGGGGCAGTTCACACCCGGGTGTGAAGCAGCGGATGAGAACCAGCTCCTCCGAGTCTGTGGTGAAGACAACGAAAAACCATCCAAAACATGGGTGGACTCTGCACGAGAGGTCTTCAGGAGTGTATGGACAATTCAATGCCCTCTTGTTATACATGCTGATGCAAAGGTTCCAAAAAATAAGAAGATTTGGGCATTGTAATAAATGTCCTCAGTGAGATGTAAGTGAATCATTGTTGTGATGAAGGGTGAATATAGAGAAGCAGAGAATTTGAAGAAGAAATTTGACATGGCTTAATGCCTAGATTTTACAGTAATCTGGACTAATTAATAGAGTCTTCTAATTAGAAAAATTATTTCAACTTCTGATCTACTTTTACTTAAGAAAAATCTCACCTGCATTACTGCCTGCAGAGGAACCTTTACCTGTAAGACATACAAAATGTCAATTTAACCAGAGTTATTACTTCACAAACAACAATAAAAAAGAATTTATGTTGGGATTATTGCATTTTACTTTGTCTACAGTTAAATTAAAACAGGACTGCTTTTTTCTAGCTCTTTTTCTGCTTCACTAGCAACAAGTATGTTGATTTTACAGAAGTATTTTTGAAGTTTTTTTTTATACTCACATAGATCTATTCATTAAATTTACTAAACACTTATCTGTGGGCCATTAAAAAAAAAACAGTTTGTACTTCCATCTTTTTCTTGGTTACAAGTTCTTCACAATGTCAGTTTGTAAGTTTGTGCTGTACCATACTGTATGCCTCATACAGTACAGTCTCATACATTGGTTCTCTCATTGGAACCATTCTCATTGGTTCTCTGATTAATGTTCTCTAAGATATAACAAATACTTACTCTTTGGGGTAGTGGATGGATTCGTCTTTGTAGAAGTTTCTGTTTTTTCTGCGTAGGGAGTAGGCGTAGTTGAAGGCGCTATGAATACAGTAGTTGTAGGGCTGATACTTTGAGAATTGCTCTTGTTAGTCCCTAAAACAAACATACAGACATTTATATTTAAAAAGTGAATAGAAGACAGTGACTAAATCTTTGGGACTTTCAGAACCACCGTTGCTGTTTTCTGGTTGGGTTGGGATGTTACTTCTGTTCTTAGCAGATTCAGTCATGCTTTCGCTGGTAGTTTGGATTTCAGAGATGTTTCCAATGCTGTTGGTAGTAGGGAGGGGTGTTTCAGTGGTGATATCAGAGTAACCAGTTATAGTATCGTTGACAGTTGAAAAGTCGATACCCGGGGCTGTTTTCATTGCAGCAACTGAGGTCAAAACCAACCCTACAGAAAAAAAGACAGTTAGAGAGTCTATATGAATAGCATGTAATTATTACTCTTTTGCTAATATCCTCCTTAACCTCTTGCATGTTCTTTTACTTGAAAAAAATAGTTTGGTCAACTCTTCAACTAAAAACGCTGGGTTTATGTTTAGAGATGAAGAGCAATGAAGACCCTGACTCAGCATCTGGCACAAGCCCCTCCAACAGCTGGGTACAGCACCATCCTGCATTGTGAACTAGCCCAAGAGAGGCCAAAATGGGATCCCTACCAAAGCCCAATTAGCCAGTGAGGCTCAAAGCTGCTCAAACAAACTGTCAATATCTAAGAGGTACCTCACTGGGACACTTGGTCCTTTCGTTTCTGTAAATTGAATTGAATTGTAAAGCACCTTGAGATGACATGTGTTGTAAATCAGTGCCACATAAAATAAACAGAATTAAATTGACTCCTGGTCCTTGAGGTATCATGTCCTGGACGTTTAGGATGTGAGTCTGCTTCTACTTGCCTGGGTGAAATGGCTGAATAGCCTTTTTATCATGCAGCTAAGTTCTCTAGACTTCTTTAAATGATTATTATATGTTATTATAGGGTTTATTTGTTTGGTATTTTGTTTTGAAGCAGATCCACTTTTGAAGCATGGTTAATACAGAAGGCATCGAGCTAACATAAATGTTTGTGCGCCTTTGTGACACATGGTAGTGCACCTCACACTGTTTGTAACTTGCTGCAGACGGTTCCATTTTAAATGACCAAAATACAGATTTTACAAACAGGAATAACTCAGTATTTCAGGAACAAAAGGAAGCGAGTCACAGAAAGGAAAACAACAAACAGAAACAGGGTGAAAAACACAAATGTGAGTTACAAAGTTTGACTGTACACATTAGTCTAAAGTTTTAGAGATGCATATCCTTTACAAAGAGGTCGAAAGTTGGTTTCCTCTACATGATTTTATTCAGTCTAAAACAAAAACAGAATTACGTTGATAAAAGAAAAATCTTTTCAACAGGAAATGCTGCTTTGGTGTGTGTGAAGCAGTTTTTCTCACATTCAGTCCCTTCTTAGGTGTTTTGTCCCATGTATTTGTAGAAAATATTGTACCAACATCAGCATTAAGTATAAACACATGCAGCACTGATTGATGCTTGAACACAGTTGATGTAGACCTGTGCTGTACCCTTAAGAGTGACTATAACTCAATCTTAAAAGCTGCAATGAACCTTGAGGATTGGAATTGAAGAACCCTTGCTGGAGAGTGTTGCAATATACGTCCTGGAAGAGGTGTTGATATGCAGAAGTCCAGCTCTGTCATCTAAATATTACAGCTAAAATTGACCATGTGACATTTTTCCTTTCAGATTTTGGTGAGGGTGTGTAAATTACGCCCTTACAGGTGAACTACCCCCTGTAGGTTCTTCTACTGTAGCAGCCCTGCTGCTTTCTTGTTCTGTGTTGAGTATTGAGACAGGACATTCTGTATACTTCGACACTGAAATATGAGTATTTGCACTTTATATCATTTCCAACCAGCTCTGCCATTTTCCTCTGACTTCTGTTTTACACCGCTGCAGCTGACAGGATAGTTTTGGTATTCTCAACCAGTCTGAGAAATCCCAATAGAATCGTAGAGCAGTCTGTCTGTTTAAACAATCACACTGTTATTCCACACTGTTAAATATGCAGTGTCAAAGTACATTGATGAGTTAATACAACAGCAAATGGACTAAGGTAAAAAAATATGTAGAGTTAATTTAACAGTAATTCAGAATGGAATAATATACACCCGCATTGGTTCTGAATTTAATTCTTTAAGTCTTACTTTAACACTGCAACATTTACTGAGAGAGGTATCAAGTAACAAAGTACAAATACTCTTACTCAAAGACTAAGTGGAATTTTTTACTATCTGTACTTTACTGCAGTAAATATTTTTACTAATATTTTACTTCTACTCCTTAAATAATTTTACAATTATCTTTCTACTCCTTACATTTTAAAAATAGGCTTGTTAGTTTTGTTTAATTTAAGCTCATTTTCGTTATAGCCTGTTGGTATTTATTTCAACCAGACAATTCATTTCTTGTGTTTGGACTCACTGCTGCACCAACTTGTTGTTCACCCTATACCAAAATAAATAGTTTTTCAATATGACACAAAGTTAAATTTGACACTGCAACCATTAGTTATAAACCTAAGAAAACTAAGTATAAGGATGTTATCATCTAGTATTGTAGAAAAATGTTAATTTAATAGTGCAGCATAAGTTTTAAAGCTTCTGCATTACTTTTACTTTTATTCTTTAAATAGTTTTAAAACTTTTACACATTTACTTGAGTTGAAAGCTTAAGTTCATTGTTTAATTTCTACAAAAGTGCTTTTAAAAAGATGTATACTTCTACTTGAGTATTAAACATAAATACTTTTGACACCTCTGTCAACGATAACATCATATTCAACATCTGTCAGATCTCTTTTCTTCATGCTTCGGATTCCTAGTTTAAACTTTAAAAGTTTTTTTTTCTCACTCCATCTAGATGCATAAATATATAAAGGTCCTGTCATTTGATTGGTCTCAAGCAAAAAAAAACCCAAAACAACTGAACGAGTATATCTAATAAAATGTCGATTCAGTGGAGACTTTCTACCACACAGCTTAATGCCTCAGCTCACAATATTTTAGATTCGTTCAAGATATTTTTTGCCTAAAGGATGTCTGAAATCTTTATTATAGGAGCTACTCTTCTGTCACAGATCGCCCATCCCTTTTACTGAACCATCTCAACCATCTGATCCCTTGACTTCTTGTTTCCAACTTCTTCAGATGGTATGTATTATGTCTGGCTCCTATCACAGTTCTTTTTCTTTCCTTATTTTCTGCCCCCACTAAAACTCTTGGGCTAATAAATCATACCTGTAAGTTTTCTCAGTTCTGCATTAATCATCTACAGGTCACTATGTATAACTATGATGCTGTGAAAATGTTGCAGAATCAAGGTGCTGTCCTGCAAATGCTGATCTAAAAATACAGGAGGAATCCATATAAGTGAATTTCTCTTTAATTTTAGCAGGTAACTAAGGTGATCTACTAATTGGATGTGAATTTTTACATTTAAATTGAATAATGAGGTGTCTTGCTCTTGAAAAATTATGAAAGAGTATTTTTTTTTATTTCAAATATAAATCATCTTATTCCTGTTGCAGATTGTCTTGCTTACCTGTTTAAATCAATGTACAATCTGTTTTTAAGTGTCAAGAGACACTTCTGCTTTTCTTAATCTATCAATTAAAACGGAAACCAGGAAGCTAACGAAGCGCAGAACCACTGTGGCATTAAAACTCAAAATATCCTACTGTAGGTCAAATGCATCATATGAAGACTACAGAACATTTCAAAGTTCAAAATATATTTATATGTTAAGGCTAAATGTGCAACAAAACAGACCAACAACAAGCGTTTTTACAAATACTTTTCTCTTTTAAATGGTTTAAAGAATGCTCAACATGAATATATATGAGAAAAAATGAAAACTTAGACCTCCAAATTAGAAAACCTTATATTTAAAAGCCAAAATTAGTACTTTGTTTCTTAAAGGTGTAATCTCCTGATCAAACGCTTTTTCTTTTATCAAATCTAGATGAAAATGTTTTCTTACCAATGAAAATTAAACAAATTGATGACATTATGAGCATGTTTGATGGCACCAGTCGATGGAGTCCAGAAGCCCGGCAGAGTTATCAAGAGCACATCTCTGTACTCAAAGGTGATGCATCATATGCTGTTCCTCCCCCAAAGCTTGGGTATTGCATGATGCAGCTGATGCAATAAAAAAAGGACGAACGCCTCTGACCACAGGATGCTTCAAAAACACTGTTGCTCAAACAGATTGAAAAAAAGGCTGTTTGGTTACTTCATTTGACTTTAAATTTTTTTTTTTTTTACTTATCAGATCGAATTCAAGATTTTATTTTATTTCATGTATTTTGTTGTTGTGCCACACAGAATATTAGGTCTATTGTGTTGTCCCTGAGATCTGGAAATGTTGTCTAATAGTTCTGTGTGCTATTTGGGTTTATGCTCACTAGATGTCACTGTGACTAAAGAAAACCCATCAGATGTTTTCCAGCTCCACATTATCAGAGCACCTTTCATCAAGTCTTCTTCACAGGAGGCTGCTGCCCATCTCCTGCAGCCTATTGGCGAAAGGCGAGGTACTCTGGACAGGTCCCAGTCCTTCACAGGGCATAATACCTTCATAGGTATTTATATATGTCTACCCCTTAGATCCATTTATGTTATAGCTTTATTTTGTAGAATAAGACTACATAATAATCTTATAATATAACAGAACTAATATCTAATATTTATGGATTTAATGGTTGATTACTGTGTTTAATGAAAAACTTGCATAGCTTATTTCAGAATCTTTTAGTTGTCGCAGTGTGTTTGTTATGTCAGAAGTTATGTCAGAAGTGTGTTGCTGTCACTCTACTTGTGTGGTTTTGTGTGTGCATGTACGGCCTTGGAGGTTAATTTTATTACTGTTTATTTGCCCATGCCAACGGTAATCAGTTGCAGGATTAGTGTTAACTGCCACCCAGTCACGGGCAGGCTCTACACGGATCACTGCAGCCCCCTCCTGCTCACTAGCCTGACCGGGTTTGTTTGGGACCCTCCATAATAGTTAGGGGGACAGGGAGTTAACTAATCCTGCAGAAAGACCCCGTTTGGCTTCCGCTTTAGGCCACCTATCGCCACGTCATGGACCTTGAACAGGAGCATCAGTCGAGGAGAGAGGAGAGGAGATGGTTTGCTTCAGAGCAAATGTGTGGAGAGACTGAGAGAAGAGAGAGAGCTGGACCACCCACCCGGAGGATTCAGAGGCACAGGATTCACAGCCCATTCTGTTGACCTGCCACACTGCCCCAGCTCTGTGCGAGACCCTCCCCAATTGTTAGGCCTGCTAGTGTGAGGAGGGGGGCAGACAAGAGGGCTGCAGTGGTGGATGAGCAGTAAACAGTGGGCCGAGCTCTCTCCTTTAGTGCACAAAGGGGCCGAATTGTGTCGGGCTGGAGCACATTTTAGATTGGCCCTGCCATGGGGCCTGAATGAAACATCTGTGGAGGCTGAGCCCAGGGGAGAAAATGCTATTTTGCTGTTCAACCACACTGACAACCTGTTTTCTTTCTCTTTACCCCCTCCCTGCCACACACACACAAGCACACACACACACTCTCCCACACACAATCAGCTTCCTCTGCTGTTATTTCTCTTTAGGCCTTGTGAAACTATTCATACTGTATGCACACATTTGCCAAAGGGGGACAGAAGAGCAACAGTAAAATAAGAGGAAGAGAAAACCTTTAGCAGAAAAAAACAAAACAAAACACGTCTTGTTTTAAGACTGAACCACATACTTGGATGTATTTTTTTCAGCTGAGTTTCACAGGCTTTCCATGGACTTATTGGTTAGTTTAAATAAACCAAATTTAAACCATGAAGCATGAAAAAAAAAAAAGTTTCTGTTGGGGGTTATTCAGAGCTAACGATTCCAGCAGTAAATGGCTGCATGTGCATTTATCGTTAGCCTTGTCAGAAAGGCTGGCTGCATATGAGGTTTGCCAATATTAAAGCACCAATACTGAAAACAATGACTCAGACCAAGTGGTGAAAGTGGTAGAAAATATGCAACCTTAAAGCCATTAATTAGTTTTTTGTATTTTTGCAGTTCTGGTTCTCCTAAGCTTCAGCAGCAGTTTAATTAGTGTCTCTAAAAACAGGAACAACAAGTGTAGCATGTTTTTAAGGCAAGTGTACTATTAGTCACTAATATCTGACTCCAGCATCTCTCTGCTTGGCTGTTTTTAACCCTGACATAATTGAAATATGCAAAACCTGTTGACGAGTAAAAACAAACTAAAACCAGAGTTAATTTTTCCTCCATTTTACTCGAACAATAATTATTTGTCTTTCGTTCTTATGAAAGAATCTGCACATGATTCCTTAGCGCAGGAAGATTCACTCGTTTGTGAAATTCCCTTCTCAGATGAACTTCAAAGTCATACCAGAATTATAAATACTATACATACATGGCAAGATAAGAAGCCAAAGGAGAAGTAAGCTGTAACTTTTTATTTTGCAATTTACTTTTTTTTATTTATAGGTTTTTCTTCCTTTGTTAATGTAATCTTGTTTTTTGTTTTTGTACAATGTTTTGTAATTGTGACATAAAACTAAAGAGAACCAGCTGCTTTTGCAGCTCAACAAAGCATATATTATTTACCATATCAAACATAGTATTGTGCATTAACAGGATATTTCTTTAGGTCTCATTCAGTTCCTTTGTATTAGTTTGGTAAAGATAACTACTTTCAGATATCTGTGGATGTGATGCAAAACTTCTAAGCGATGTGCTCTGTTTTTGAGACGAAACTCTCCAGTGAACAAATTCTGACGGTTTTGCCTAAAAAAATCAGAGGATTTAAGGTTTGGTCTGTAGGATCTTTCTTAAATTTTTACTGCCACATTGCTCCATTGTTATCACCAGATTGTTGTTATGCTAGCAGAAAAGTGCCACTGCATTATGGGTAATTCTGCCGCTGAGAGTCACGCTCCATGCGTCCTGCGTCCTGCTCCACGATTGGTCCGGCCAGATCTGGCCTGAGTGGTTTAGCAGACAAATTACGCTGTGTGTGATTCAGCCTGGGTGGCCGGGCTAACAAAGTCTGCCTTGGATTCACTGGTTCCTGTCCTCTTTGGAAACTTTGGTTTAACGTTACTGCAGCTAAGCTTGTATGTACTTTTACTCTCCAATAAATGTTTCTCAAAAGGCCTCCAAAGTCTGACTTTTTTTAGGTAATTCTTCACAAAACGTATTATTACTCACAAGTGCACATGTTGGTTCTTTAATATATTTCCATTGTACATCAATGCAATCATTTAATTTGACACATATCCAGCTGAAAGAAGTAGCCTAGTGTGTGTTTTTTTGTATTTTTAAATAACATGCAGGCTTTTTTTCCTTATTGGCACTTTTCCCATTACAATACTTCAGTTTTGAAACTAGTACTTTTATACTTCTACTTGATAAAAAGTTTGAACTAATGCTTAAACTTCTCAGAAGTACAGTATTTCTTAATCCTGGTATCTTTACTTCTGATTGAGTAATGACGGTGATTACTTTTGACACCTCTGGATATCACTCATTATTCCCTGCGACTCTTGACTCAAACAGAAATGATTTGTTGAAGTGGCAAAGTTTACTCTGTTACTTCAGGTTTCAATTTGAATTAATTGCTAAAGTCTTGCTGACATGGAGCCTTTTTTAAGACTCTATTAAGTTTGTGTTGTTATGCAGAAAAGACAACCCATGTTTCTTGTGCCTGATGTTCAGTTTGCTGTCAAAGCCAAAGTAATACCACAGGTCTGGTAGTCTGGTAGCATCGAATTTCAAAGTTATTCTTAAGCATTTTATCATGAGTACTGTATGTTCAAGCAGCTCCAGATAATATTTCAGCGATTTCAGACCCTGTTCGTCTTATCTAAATGTCAACAGCCTTTTAGCACAAATTTCAGACATAGTTGGGGATTAGACACTAACACTTGACCCTCAAATGGCAGCGTTTCCATTTGAGAACTTACAATTACACCACAAACTGAAAAAAATACTTTACTATTCAAGACTTCAATACTGCAGCTCTAATGACAGCTAATGACCTCCACTTTAATTAAGTCAAGATAAGAAGGTATGAAGGCAATCGGTCTACAAGTCCATCTATCCATCAAAATGTCAAGCACTTTAACCCTGCCCCTCGATCAAAGAACCCCACAATGTTCCTCACGCTCCAGCTTTGTGTGTAGCCAAAGAAAAAGACCACTGAAACATTTCAGTGTAATTAAAGGGGAAACAAAGATCCCTGCGTACTTCCTGGTCTACCATTTTCTTTAATCAATTTCCTCTCTTTGGTCCTATATCATCTCTAATTACTTTTCCTTTCCCGCCCCTTGTGGGTTCCTCCAGGAATGAGGGTCTACATACACACTGATGCTTAAGGATACACATCCACACACACTTATTGCTAACCCCCTGCCTCAAGCAAGCAATACCTTCGGCATTAATACTTGTTGCCCCCCTTGTTGCCGCTCCTCTAGCCTGAACAATGAAGAAGGCCCACTGGCTCCAGAACCCCACGAAGCAACCCCTGAGCCTGCTTACCTTTCTGCTAAAACCCTACACACAGACAGACACCCACAAACACACACACACAGACACACGTTTATATATCCAATACTGGAGTTGTAAACTTTGGCACGTTTGCACTTGACAGTCTGTGGTGAATGTAGGGAAGTCGTGGGGGAGGCGAGGTAAAAGGGGAGCAGGGCCGCTCTAAATACCAGCTCAGCTTGTAATCACTGGAGTTTGAACTAGAAAGATTTCTTGTGTTTGGAGGTCAAAAAGCCAAAACATTCACTCCCTCCTTTCTTTCATACCCGCTGCCTTCTGTCAATCATTGCTCCTATTAGGTCTCTGTGATCCACTTGGACTTACATCCTACAAGCCCAAGAATTTGGAAAGTTTTCAAAAAGAATCCATGAGTAGAAAAATTCCTTATGGAATGAGCTTGACCAGTTCTTGCCTCGAAAACTCAGTTTTATTGGTTGTTTTACGAATAAAAATGTGTTCTTTTATAGTTTGAGGGAAATCAATAAATTTCATGCGTTACTTGGTTGGGGGATTTTTCAGACGATGCCTTGAAAGTATCCACAAAGTGTTGCAACAACTGTTT